GGTCAAGGATTTCTGTTCTTCAGAGAAGCTGAAAATTTACTGGCTTTTTCAAATATGAAATTTAACAGTTTCAGAGAATAATACAGGAAACCTTTAGAACTGACAATTGTTGACATTTTCTTTTATGTGCCTCAAGCTGCCTTTCTTAGATTTTTTTTTTTTTAATTAAGCAAAATGATCAATTCCAAATACAGTTGAAATATCCTTTCCATCCCAGTACCATTTCCCATACTCCTCCAGCTTGGGCAGCCACTATTATATATCCTTCCAGCCCACTTTTTAAACAGATGAGTGTGGCTGTGTTCCATTAAAATGTATTTACAACGACAGGCTATGAAACTATTAGCCTTAGTTGTTCATGCTTGTTCTAATTTATTCTTTTTCATCTACTGAATAGAATACTGTCTATAACATGACTATACCAAATTCGATTTTTCTGTCCCCTGTAAGTAGATGTTTACATTTTCCCAGCTTTTCTAATACTATAATTATGCTAGAGGAAGCATCCTTGTCCATGTTTTCTTGTATAAATATGAAAGGGTAGGTTTTTCACTAGAATGTGTACGTAGAAGTGGGGATTACTGGAAGTTTTTTGTTGCTTTTGTTTAAAACATCAGTGGGTCACATAAAAATGCAGGTAACATCTGAATGACTATTTTGTGATCTCTTTCCTGGAATCCAAGGAATCCTGGTGGTGCTGTGGGTCAGGCACTGGGCCATTAACCTCAAGGTCGGTAGTTCAAACCCACTGGTTGCTCCATGGGTCAAAGATGAAGCATCTGCTCCCACAGAGATGTGCAGTCTGGGACACTCTGTATAGAGTTTCTAGGAGTTAGAATCAACTTGGTGGCAGTAGGTTGAGTTTGAGGCCTAGAATCTCTAGGAAGCCACCAGTGATTGAGAATCCACCCCACACCTAGTTCTAGAATTTGAGCTAAGCTAATTAGCTGCGGATGCTTGATCCAAATTGTAAGAAATGTGCAGCTGGTTTCATCCACAGGTGACAGAGATGAGCTAGGGGAGGTGGGGAACTCAATTTTTCACATGTACTCACTATTCAGATGGCAATGTTAACATCTAAACGACAAAGTTCTAGCAGAAAAGGTATCCAGGAAGAAGGTGATGAGCGGCTGAACTGTGATTCTTTCTCTCTTGCAATGCTGTGAGTCCCTTTCCAGTTTGACCACTCTTTAATTAGAGCCACTAAAAGAAGAATAAGGACTGTGATTAAGCAAGAGTACCAGGGCATCCTTCCAAGAAAACCATATCCATTGTGGAGGACCCAGACAAGATTTTAAGCCCTGGTGGCAGGAAATTAAATTAGACCATCTTCCTGAAATAATACGTCAATAATATATGACTAGTTTAGTCTAGCTGGGTGAGTTCAGAAAAGAAATGATGCTGTGTGCTCAGAGGCGAGGAGATTTAATTAAGGGGTCTCATGCATTGGGAATAATGTTCTTTTCAAAGATTTTTTAGATAACTGTAGGTCATTATCATTCCTTGTCTTGATTGTTTTGGAGAGCTCACAAATATATATGGGGCTATAAGAGAAGCAGCTGAACATCAAGGCTAGGTCAGCTTGCCAGCAGGCTTTTGTTTTTCAAACAGACTTGGGCCTTGGTGCCTCCTCCCGGAAATGGAGCTCAGAAGCATCAGCCGACTCTCTCCACTGACTCCTTCACATTTCTTCCTCCTTCCAGTGTAGGGTCCTGTTTGCCTTGTAGCCGGGGTCTCCCGGAAGTAGGCTCTGGGGCTGAGATTTTAGTTTTGCTTGGGAAAGGGAGGTGGGCAAGGGGATTGGCTGCAGCTGTAGCTAGGGGTGGGGGCAGCAATTGAGTCACTCTGAAATGAAAAGAAGCAACTGAAAACAAACAACAACAGCAAAAACCTTGCCATTCTGACTTGTGGTTCTTTGTCTCGTCTGTCAAAAATGTCATCATATCTAGAAGGTGATGAATGAACTCCAGGACTGCTTGAGCAATTTTCTATAAATGGCTTATAAAGTTCAGTTCATATTGAACATCAGGTATTTGGATTTTGGTTTAATTTTTTTTTTTTTTTTAAAGGATGATGACCACAAACTGAGCCATAGTAAATTTTATTCTAATGATTTTTGATGCCCAAAATTAAGTCCCATGTATAATTTCTGGAATGACCATTTGACCAGAGCTTTGGCTGAAACTGTGTTAGTAATTTTAATCCTGTCTTATATTAGTTTATAAAGTAATTCCACCATTGTAAGCACCTCTTCGTCTCATAATTACCCTCAAGAAGGATTAAGTACCCCATTTTACAGAGTTTATCAAAAACAGGTGCAGAGGGAGTAAAGGTCTTTTGTTTCTCCATTGTAGTCTTCTATTGTTGTTGTTGTTGTTGTTAGGTGTCATCGAGTCGGTACTGACTCATAGCGACCTTATGCACAGCAGAATGAAACACTGCCGGATCCTGGGCCAACCTCACTATTGTTGCCAGGCTTGAGCCCATTGATGTTGCTACTTGGCCAGCCCATCTCACTAGGGGGTCTTCCTCTTTTTCTCTGACCCTCCACCTTACCAAATATGATACCCTTCTCCAGTGACTTGTCCCTCCTGACAATATGTATGAAATAAGAGAGATGATGTTTGGCCATCCTGGCCTCCAAGGGGCACTCTGGCTGCAATTCTTCCAACACAGATCTGTTGGCTCTTTTGGCAGCCCATGGCACTTTTAGTATTCTCCTCCAATACCATAACTCAAAGGCATCAATTCTTCTACGGTCTTCCTTATGCACTGTCCAGCTTTCGCATGCATATGAGGTGATTGAAAATACCCTGGCTTGGGTCAGTCTTCTATTACTCGTTGTTATTTTTGTTCGTTGCCATCAAGCAGATTATAAACCACTAGAAGAAATGTATAAAGTAACTTTTTGTGTTTCCATGAGTTTAGCAGCGTAACAATTTGTGAAAGATCAGTGATAACTATATATGTATTAATCTACAACATAGATGTCCAGAGTGGCCCATAATTGCTTCATGTTCTCCCACCCTTTTGCTGGCAGAGAATATCATCATGGGTCTTACAGCTAAAAAGAAGCACACACAAAATTACAAATACATTTTCCTTTGATGCAGCAAATCCCATCTCTATCGAATTCTTTACAATGATGTGTGCTGCGGTTTTTCATAGCAAAAGATCGGAAACAAATTTATGTGTGTCCACAGGGAAGCAGGTCATTAAATGATGATGTGTCCTTACATTGGGATATTATGCAACTGTCACAAAGAATAAGGCAGGTCTATATTTATTGGTGTGGTGCTGCAGGGTTAGCACTGGACTGCTAACCATAGTGTTGACAATTCACATCCATCAGCTTCTCCTTGGAAATCCTACACAGGGTTGCTATGAGCCGGAACTTTCTCAACGATACTTAACAGCAACAGCATTTACTGAGGGAACAAATTGCCAAATATGTTGATTAGTGAAAAGAAAAGGAGATGCTGGGCTGTATGTAACATAGTACACATGTGTGAAAAAGTATGTGTTAACACACACTTGCCTTCTGTCCACAACCATCTCAAGAAAAACAGTGTGTGTGTAGGGCAGGGGAACTGGCTAGCTAGCTGCTGAAGAGGTGAAGGAGAGAGAGATCTATCATCATTGAAGAGCCTTTTGCATCAAGAACTATGTGAATTATCTAATTAAGAAAGAATTACGCGTTTTCAAAGACCCTCATTTGATCCTCCTTTCATTTGCTTCCTGAGTTTTCTGGCTCAGACTGAAATACTCTGTTTTGCTTTTACTTTTTAAATCTTTTAACACTTGTTTTCATATTTATATTCATCTCTCTTTATTAAACATATTGCTTGCATGGATATAATCATTGCATTTCTTTGTAATGCATTATACCAAAACCTCATTTGTTTGAATACATTTTGCATAAGTCAGCTGTAGGTGATAATTTTAGAATTGATCTGCATGAGATAGGAAATTCAAACAGTACAAATACAATGAGTATAGTGAAAA